ATTTGTCCCTGTTTGCTGTTGCTGGTGGATATATTGGCTACTGGTATCCTGTGCTGCTGTGGGCATTCTTGTACAGGCAGACATGAGTATGTACCTCTACTGGTTGTGCAATTCGGGAAGGGGCTTCTGGTCACAGTATACTTTTGCTTTTAGCATAGGTGGTAGTTGTTAGGTGCCATCAAGATGCCTGTGACTCATAGTGACTTTGTGAACAAGAGATTTGTGCCATCCTCACAATCTCTGCATTCTCAAGCCCATTTTCCCCAGTAACTGGTCCCTCCTGGCAATATGTTCAAGGTATGTGAAACGAAGTTTCACCATAAGGAGCTCTGTGGTTGCACTTCCTCCAAGATAGACTTGTTTATTTAGCATAGGAGCCTCTACTATTTCCAGAGTGGCTGTACCCGATTGTGATCATTCCAGCTACTCCATGCCCCTGCCGGTACATGGCCTGCTTAGTCATCATGAGTTAGCCCACTGGTGAGTGTGCCCTGTTACCTCATTGCGGCCTTTGTTTTATTTCTCTGATGACTAATAATACTGAGCAACTTTTCATTCATTCATTGCCAGTGGCTCATAATTCACCATCCAGAGGGTTTTCAGAGGCTGTAAATCACACGGGAGGTAATTGCCCATTTTTTCCCCCCTTCAAGCATCTAGTGGATTCGAACTGTGTGCCTTGGCAGTGCAACTCCTTACCTATTATTTAGTCTGCAGAGCTCCTTGATCATTTTCTAGGAAAATGAAATCATATTCAGTACTTTTTTAAAAAAAGTTCAGTACTTTTTGCTCCCTCTTCTCTCTTGAGTTGATTCTGACTTAGAAAACAAAACATAGCAGTGCCTGGTCCTGCACTGTCCTTACAGTTATTGCTGTGTTTAAGTCCGTTGCTGTGGACACTGTGAGAGTCCCAGTCATCACGGGTCTTCCTCCTTTTATCTAAACTCTCTACCAAGCATAAGTCTCTATTCAGGGAAGGGTCTCTTCTAGTAACATACCTGAAATACTTAAGGGCAGAATCTGAATCATCAAGTCAGATTTGCTTGTTGTTCTGGCTGTCTATATTCCGTGTTCTTCGCCAACACTGCAATTTGAAAATGTTGATTCTTTTTCATTTTCCTTATTCATTGTGTACCTTTCATATGAATGATTGAAAATACCCATGACTTGGTCACACATGCCTTAGTTTTCCAAGTGACATCTTTACTTTGAACACTTTATAGAAGTCTTTTGCAGTGAAATTGCCAAGTCATTCTCTTTTTTATTTTTTCCCCAGAAGGTTTCTTGACTACCCTTTGCATATGGGCACTGATTGTGGATCCAAGTAAAGGAAATTTTTATCAGCTTTGATCTTTATATATTCTTTATATATGGATATGAATATCTGTGCCTGTGTACAGAGACCTCTCTCTATCTAGAGAGAAATCCTTTGGATACATGCATTGTAAACTTCTCTCCCTCTCTTTGTTGTTTACATGTCTGTTCACAGTCTTTTGATGGATAGAGATCCCTCTGTTTGATTCTACCAGCCATACCAGTATTTTATAAGATCACTGACTTTGGCTTCATTTTATTCTTGCATAGGGTCTTGGTTTCCTAGTGTTCTGTAGCTCAAATACTACAGAGAGGTATCTTTAATAAACAAAGTTACGTTTTAATAGTTGAAACTCAAAAGTTCAGATTAAGATCTTGGCTGTGTGAATTTAACACAGTGTTGCAAATGATGGTAGTATAGAAAGAGAGAGAGAGATGTGTTTCTAACCACAGTTGTCAATTTAAAAGTGTGCAGCAATGTGTTCACATAGTTCCTCGCTTGCTTTTGCTTGTGCACATGGCATCTGTCTGCATATTTGTGTAATCTGATCTTTTTTTAACTCTCACTTTATTACACTCCCACACTGGTTCTACCTTTTTAATGTAACAGGGGAGACTTCAAATAGGATTATATCCACAGGCATAGGGGGTTAAGAGTTTGATATGGAGCAAATGAAACAATTGAATCCATCCTTCCTTTCACTTGAAATGAATGTTAAGTTTGCCTTCAGTGGTGCCTGTGCTGCTGGGATCTTTCATAGTTCTCTTGGCATTTGAGAGCCGAGCCACGAGAACTCACATGGTAAATTTTGAGGGATGGCTGGTCTTGGTACAATGGGAAATAGTGACCTATTTGTTTACCACAGCCATGTTCTTCATTGTGCAGTATCTTTCAGCCTCCTGGTTAGGCAGAAGGCTTAGATGTCTTCTTTCACAGGAGAATACAGGTGTTGAACCTGTGCAGGTACTTTTTAGTGGAGAAGAGTATGCTTTATAGATAAGGGGACAAAAAGGCCCAGCACCTTCTGTGTAGTAGGAAGGTGGAAGACTAAACTGTTAACCTTGACAGGCTTGGTTTCCTGACCCTGAAAGCCTAGCCTGGTTGAGTCCCAGCTGTTAGCCTCTAGCTTCTTTCTGGTGTCCAAAGCAATACAGGACTGGGATGCTGACCTTCCCTAATTTCCCTAAGTGCTCAGGGCTCATCCTAGTCAGTGGGCAGCAGTTCAGCCATAGGTGAAAGAAATAAAATGACACAGTTTCCCATGTTCTACCACCTAGAAATCACCCCTGTGGAGCATTTTTGGTAACAGAGAATCATGCTTGACTGTGTTCAAGTCCTTATTTAACAATAGGTTAATCATTGTAATTACAGTATAAAATAGAAATTGTCTTATAAAAAACCCGAGTAGGTTAATACAGTCTTCCTCTGGGATGAATGTTAACTACCACAACCAAAAGAACTGAGTTAGAGGTTATCTGCTCTATGTAGCAGCATAATTTTTTTTAACTTTTTTTTTAATTTCATTATTTTTTGTGTGTACCATCAAATCAGATCTGACTGGTACAGGAGGAGATTGTTCCTCCTCCTCCAGCAGAGCATCTGGTGGATTCAAACCATGCACCTCTGAGATTGCATTGCAGCTTCTTGCCACTAGGCCACCAGAGCTCACCATAGCAGCATAATTTTTAACTTCAGTTCTGTAAAACAAAACAAAAAGTAGAATTGCTGTGCACAGATGTATTTGCGTAGAATAACATCCCTCTCTAGGCCAGAGTTCACTTTTTTAAAAAATTATTAATTTGAATGAAAATTTACAGAGACCCCTCCCCCCAGTACACTCCGAAAAATTCTTTCATTGTTTTACAATCCCCCCTCAGGTCCACTCCACTATGCAGCCTTCATTCTGGACTCCTGTCATGACAAAAATACCTAATTACATATCCCTTTTAAACAGTTTTCTCCCTCATCTGTTTCAATACAGTATAGTCTCAATGGCTGTTTTAACAGTATGATTAAAAAACATGAATGTCAAGGCAGTATTTTATATTCTTGGCCCTGGGTTGATTTGAGTGGGAAAATCTTGACAGAGTTTAACATACAAACCTTGGATGAGAGTCTAAAATCAGAGACATTTGGTGTGTTGAAAACTAGCCTTATCTCTGTTTAGAGTCTTGACATGAGGCTTTAATCCATGTTGAATTTTTTAAAGTTGCTTTTTCTAACTGCAGTTCTAATCTTGGTGCTGACCTAACTAGCTATCCTGAAGGAGACATTCCTTTTTGCTGAGGTCTGGCAGGTGTAGGATATTACACCTATTCCCAGAAAGTAGTTTCTTCACTTGGATCAAACAAATACAAGAAATGATAGCTTAGAACTGAAGGGTCTTGATGCACAGCTTTATCAATAAATGTTTTCAATAGACATTCCAAACAGACATAATTAAGAAGGCATTGTTAACGGTTGTTGAGTACCATGGAGTCGGAACCGACCCATAGCTGACCCTCCAGCCGGTTTTCAGAGGCAGTTAAATCACATGAGAAGAGATTGCCCATCCTTTTCCTGTGGAGCAGCTGGTGGATTCAAACCTTGTGCATTCCGGATTGCAGCACAACTCCTTGCCACTAGGCCACAAAGACTGTTCTGAAAGACTTGTCGTGCCATTTCTTCCTGTGACAGTCCTTGTAATAAACTGCAGAATACATACCTTTAACTCATCATGAAATCCCACTTCATGTGTTATCCACCTACCTCTGTCTTTGCTTTTAGATATCCCAGCTTTGACAGTTTTATTTTGGGTATTGTTGTTGTTTTAAATAACATCTTTATTTTATACTGGTTTACTTACAAAGATTATATACATTGTTTTTCACATTTCCTTTACCCACCCCTCCATCCACCCATGTAACTGTACAACATACCTCCTCTGTCCTTACTCAGCCTTATACTTCCCCCCCTTGGATCCCTAGATAATAGTTTATTATCTTCCTATTTTTATAATAGTTGAGACTTGACTTGTGCTTTCTGCTGCAGCTTTACAAAAATGTTTCATTTTTCTGGCTGAGAGAACAGCCATTTGGACATCTTGATCTAAAATTTCTAGGTTTTTAATAAATATTTTCATTTTACTTGACAATGTATGTTTTCACTCTAGGATAGATAGCCTTAAAAGACGCTGAATAGAATGTGAAAACTTGTTTTAAATTTGCATTTTACTCTGAAGAAAGTAATACTGTTTCTGGAGTTGGTGTTTAGTGTATATCCCAGCAGAAATTTATTCCTCTTGATTTTGACTTAAGTAATAAAATAATCTACATCAGACTTAATTTTCATTTCTGTGAGCTCCGTGAAATTAAAATTGTCCTAGGATAGTAAATACACCACTTGACATTCTCTCTTTCCTCTCTGATGTTGGTTTAATTTTTCTCAATATGAATGTCTTTTTAGTATGAGGTGGTGAGAAAACGTGTAACTTAGATTCATTGTGGTCAGCCCACAAATGGATTACAGGTCATAAGCGTGTAGTTTAATCATGTCTGTCATAAATGTACACTGGCAAAGATGTGGACGTCAGACCCATTCCTGCCCTGCACCTGGTCCAATCACCAGTCCAAGGATGAGGACTGTAACTTCTAGTGCTGGGTTCTAGAACTGAAGCAATTTTAATGTGGCTCATTTATATTTTCAGTGAACTTTGAGGCCTTGATCATTGCAATGTCAGTGGTGGGAGGCAGCATCATCCTTGGGGTTTCGATTTGCTGTTGCTGCTGCTGCTGCAAGAGAAAGAAGAGCCGTAAGCCAGACAAGAGTGAGGAGAGGGCCATGCGGGAGCGTGAGGAACGCAGGATCCGGCAGGAAGAAAGGTGCGTAGTGCAGAGCGCTGGTTGGAAAGAGAGTGGAAGATAAACTTTGTAAGTCTAACATTTCTCCATTTTAAAATAGAACTGTGCTTGGGGCCCATGGGATTTTGTAGGTCACGTTATGAAGAATGAGACACTGCATGGCAGGCACCTAGCAAGTGGCTATTAGCTTTGTTGTTTCTGGTTTTGTCATATTCATTTGCTTCTTCCAGTTAGAGGAAGAGTCACAGCTATGGGGACCTGACTTGCAGAACCTTTTTCTGCACAATTTCGTGACTATACCTCATGAATACTAATATCCCTCCATAATCAGGAGGGAGAGACCATGGGACTGGTCACAGCCAATGAACAATAAAGTCAGACACATGTTTTAGTTAGTCACACACAGTATCTTCATCAGTACATTTCTCTACCTGAAAAAAAGGAATTTTAAAGAACATAGCAGCAGGCATCTGAATTGCTTTTACTAAAACAAACTCAATTATGTGACATTGGGCGGCTGTGGAAACACTATCATCTGCTCTGACCTGTGGCTGAACTTACCTCTCTACGTGGTTCCTTCTGGGAAGCAAGAGGAAAACCCCCAGAATAACCAAAGTATCTTTAAACAGATGAAAGGATATATCTTTTATAATTACTTTATATATGATAAATTTGATACTGAGAGTTTCTTTTTATTTTTTTAGGAGGGCAGAGATGAAGTCAAGACATGATGAGATCAGGAAAAAATATGGTAAGAGTGGACCAAGGCCCCTTTTCCAGTGATCAGGGATCATTATCCCATCATCTTGGTTAACTAACATATAGGAAACCTGCCTGGTCTGGATTTCATTGAAACAGGAAGAAGGTACTTTTGAGAAAGCAGCCAGCTTTATCCTCCATCATGTTAAAATGAGCTCATTCTATTAAATGTCTTGAGAGAATCACCCTTAGAATATTCTTATTTCAACCCATCTTTGTGAAGCCAACTTTATCTCTTACTTGTTCAGTTATATGGCATTGAAACTTCCAGAATGGTCCATCTGTTGTAACTCCTTCTGTGTTTAGTCTTCTTGTTTGCCCTAAAAGGGGGCATGGCTCAAACCACTCACAAACCATTCATGTGGTCCTGCGTCCTCTGTTTATCCCTTTTTTGGTATGCTCATTTCCATCTGTGAATAGTGAACTCCACATTTCCTATGGAGAAGGAGCTAGCGCTGAAAATTAGTTACAGTTACTCTTTATTTCTGACTGTGTTCTCAGTTTTTTGGTGGTTTGTTTTGGCTTTGGGTTGTTGTTGTTGTTTGTTTTTTTGAGAGCTAGGAAGTTCAATTTATTGGTGCACAGGCCAGACAGGGCAGTGCTAACCAAGGTCTTCATGAATGCTGGGCCTGTCATTTGTTCAAGGGACCACAATTGGGGATATATTTCACTCTACAATCATTTGGGATGAAATACTTTTCAGTCACCATGTCTTCAAACTTGTGAGCATAAAACTTCATAAAGCCCCACTTCTTGGAGATCTGGATCTTCTCGTGCCCAGGTACCTTGAACTTGGCCCAATAGAAGGCATCAGTCACATGCTCCTTGTTTTGAAGCTTGATATGGATGAACATGATGACTTGGCCATTGTTGACCCTGGCCACTGTACCCTGGAGTTTTCCAAAGACACCTCACATCTGGAGTCTAAATGAGGACAGCAGACATTTGTGAGGTCAGAGGCATGAATGAAAGTGCAGCAAAGAACTGTCTCCAAGGTCCCGTAGGGCAGCAGCCCTTGTATGCAGCAGGCTACATACACTATCAAGGAGGCTGCTGTTTACAGCCATTATATACAGGTCCCCACAGAAAAGGGGGATGTCAGCTTAATTAGCTGCAGGGTTCTGCCTCAGTTTTGTTCCCTTTGTAGAGATTTGGAATAAGGAATGTAACTAAAGGGCAAAAGTATAAGCAGTTTATTCCATTAGAAGAATTCAGAAAATGCACATCTAATTACTTACTCTAAATTATATATATTAGCTATTTAAATATAGATAACATGGAAAAGACTTAAAATTCCAGAAAATAAATTGTGTTCATGTGTAACTATACATGTACCAAGAAGCAGTTATTCAGACAGAACAAGAGTATAGTAAATAGTTAGAATTAGAAAAAATGTGTATCTTTTCATGTTATTTATTTTATTATTTGTTGTTAAGATGTGCCATCAAGTTGCTTGCAACTCATGTTGTTGTGGTTGTTTGGTGCTGTCGAGTCGTAGATGACTCATAGCGACCCTATGAACGAACGGCCTGAGCGCTGTTGGTACATAGAGTTTCTGGAGGCAAGCCATTTCGGAAGTGGATGCCACTCCTGTTTCCAGGCTTGCAACTCATAGTGACCCTATATGGGTACAAGAACCCTAAACCCTGCCCTATCCTGTGCCAATCTCACTGTCTCTGACACAGCTACTCCCATTACCCCAACCTCTGAATCGATCCATCTCATCAAGGGTCTTCCTCTCTTACACTGTCCCTCCACCTGCCCAAACATGTCACTCTCCAAGGACTGGTTCCCTCCTTGTAACATGCCCAAGGTATGTCAGACGAAGCTTCAGAATCCCTGCCTCCAAGGAGTAGCCAGGTTTTACCCTCTCTAGGACAAACTTGTTTGTGTATATTCATCTGTCTTCTCCAGCACCACAGTTCAAAGGCATCACTTCTCTTTCTATTATCCCTACTCACTGTCCAGCTCTCTGACACATAGCACACAATTGTGAAGACTGTGGCCTGGATCAGGTGCACCTTAGTCTCCAGCCTGATGTCGTTGCTCTTCAGTATTCTGGAAAGGTCCTTAACATGTGACTTTCTCAGTGCAATTCATCTCTTGATTTCCTGGCTGCAGGTAGCAAGAGTGTTGACTGTGGAGCCAAGCAAATGAAAACTGTTAACTATCTCAATCTCTTCACCATCCATGCTGCCAGTTGGCCCAGTGGTGAGAATCTTTCTTCTTGATATTGAGAGCTATGCTGAACAAGTAATCTGAGAAGCAAGACTATAAGAATAACACAGCATCAAAATTCAAGGAAGATTTACTAACAACCTATAATATTCAGATGATACAGCCTTAACTGCTGAAAGTGAAAATGACTTGAAGCACTCAACTAATGAAAGTTAAAGACCACAGTCTTTGAGGATAAAGAAAACAAAAATACCCAAAATTGAACTCATAATTTATGATACTGACTCAGCAGCTCTACACCTGTGTATATAACCAAAAGACTTTAGAGCAGTAACTTAAAAAAAAAAAAAATAGAAGACTGGTATGTTGTTGTTAAGTGCCATTGAGTTGTAGATGACCCATAGCAACCCTATGAATGAAAGTCTTGAACAGGAAACTTTCATCAATTCTCCAAGTTCCTAGAGTTTCCAGAGGTAAGCTGTTTATGGAAGTGAATGCCACTCCTGCTTCCAAGTCCTTTTTATTCTGGAGCTCCACAAAAATCAGGCCAGAGGGTCCAATGCCTTTTAAATAGGAGGCCAAATCCAATCAGCTCACACCCAGTTGCAAGCAGCAGTCACACCCAACTCTCAACCCCAAAACAGAAAACACACCTTTGCAGAATCTGGCCCTTCCACTCATCTTCCCAACCTGGACTGTACACCAGTGTTTATTGTAGCTCTGTTTACAGTAGCTAGAAGGTGGAAGCACCTAGATGCCCATCAGCAGCTGGAGGATTAGACAAAATGTGGTACATACATACACATACAGTGTAATACTACTAAGCCAGTAGGAAAAAGAAGTCTGGATACATGCTGCAGTATGAGTGAAGCTTGAAGATACTGGGCTGAGTAGCAAAAGCCAGTCACAAACAGACAAATATTGAATGAACTTAGAAGAAAAGGCAAATATATAGAAACCAAGGCTTATTAGTGATTAAAGGGAAAGGGAGGGAGAAAGGAAGTTAATTGTGATGGCAAGATTGCAGTGATTAAAGACAGGATTGCATAAAGATTAGTTTGTGAGGCTGCTTTTTTACATCTAAAACTGTCATAGGATGTGTTTCCTTGGTTTGACAGTTTGCTGTCATGGTTTCACAGGACTTTGTGCTTAATTAGCCTAATGTGTTCAGGACTTTGGTTCTGCCTCTTAATTCACTGCATAGTGCCTGGTGTCATGAAAGTTGGCATTCACTTGTCTAAAGCATAGTTGATTTTTATTCACTTGGAAAAATAGGAGAATCAGTAGAACGTGGAATGGGTAGCTAATTGCCTTCATGACAGACTGCCTACTGTACAAGAACTGCATCATCCCCAGCTGCCATTACTGAACATTTTTTTTTCCAAAGGTTCACTAGTAGAATCTCGATAAAAAAGGAAAAATTGTCATGCACTCCGGGCCTTCTGGAGCTATGGAGGCTGGATAAACCACTGAAACTGTTTACCTCAGGTTACCTTTAAACTTCAAAAATAGCTTCTTAAAACTGAACAGTAGTTTGGCTTAACTAGTAAAAAAAGATCTGCCTTGAGCATCATGGCATTACATATGCATGTGAAAGCTGAACAGTGTCAAAGGAAGAGTGCAGAAGAATAGATGCCTTTGAATTGAAGAATGAATTTGAAATGAAGAATGTTGAATATACCAAGGGTTTCACGATAAATGAACCCAACAGTCTAAGGAGAAATACAATCAGTGCACCTTAGAAGACTTTGGCTCACTTATATTGGTCATGTCATCAAGAAAGACCGATTGTAAGAAAAGGACACTGTGTTTGATAAAGTAAGAAATCATCCAAAACAAGGAAAACCATCAGTGGTATGGATTGGCACAGTAGCCTTAACAGTGTTACTGATTGCCATTGAGTCGATCACAACACATAGCAACCCTATGAACAAAAAAACCCTGAAGTCTTTCTATAACTATTGTCGTTTCTCAAAGTTCATAAAGTTTCCAGAGGCATGTGGTTTAGGAAGTGGATGCCACTCCTGCTTCCAAACTGGTCTTAAACTGGGAGCTTCACCAGACACTGTCCACAATGGGTAACTGTTATGGAATTTGACAGCCCCGTGGCACAAGGCTCAGCAGTAGGTTTAAAAATTCCAAGGTTCATGGAAATGGCACAGAACTAAGGATTATTTTATTCTGTTATGCAGTAGTTCACTCTGAGTCAGAGCCACCTTGCAACTGGCAACAAAAATATTTTTTACTGTTTTCAAAGTCTTTGGAAGTGTCACAGCTGCTTCTGTATTAGTTAGTCTGTGCTGGTTTAAAGTCTGTAAACATCATTAGAGTTACCTGCATTCAGCAGTGGCTCATTATTGGCAAAGGGAGAACCTAATTCCCTTCTCCTGTCTCGGTTAAGGTACCGCTCCCACTGGCGCCTTAGATGCTAAGCCCTCCATACTGTCTTGGAAACGCCTCCCTGTGTGAGGACCCTGGATCATGTGTAACCCTAGCATGCTCCAGACAGCAGGCAGCCATGTCAGCCATCACATCTGACCAGGAACATATCAAATCTCTTGTGATCAGTGTGCTTTTGGGGGAAGTCCTCTGTTTGCATAAGGAAATTCACTGTGTCAGCTTGTGTCAGGACCTGGCCCACTAGGGACATCATTAAGCCACTGATATTGTGCAGTCTTCTGGGGAAAAGCAGTATCCTGAGGCCCTGATAGGCAGTCAGCTGCTTCTTCCAGTAAAGTCTCTGCAGATGCTGGGTCCTGGGGACACTTAGTACCAGAGGCTTGAATTCCCTTGCAGGCTACAGGAGTGCTACTGCACTGGTCTGTGTGCTGTTTCCAGTGAGAGTCACGGCTGTGGTGCCTTGTTGACTCCGTGTGCCTGGGGGAAGTGTGGGTGTTTCTGGCACGAAGCTTGGCCTGTTGCCACTCAGCCACTCCTCTCCTCACTCACATTTAACGTCAGTGTCTGACTGTAGACTGAGCCTGTTTCTCAGGGGCTTTACATCTAATTCAGAACTGTGGTCATGCCTGTTCTACTCCTTGGAAACTACTGGGGAGTAAGTTTCTCTTTCTATATGGCCTTTCAGGCTGTGGTCTTATTTGTTATCCTCACAAAATGATTGGCTTTGCCTCTGCCTTTGGACCAGTGAGTTTCTATGAAATTGAAAAGACTCAAAACAGCTCATCCAGGAGCATGTTTACATCTGATTAATGTTAATGTGAATAAAAGACGTCAGTCTAGAGATGAAGGTGTGCCTGATCTAGTCTGTGGTCTTCACAATTACTTGCAGTGCATCAGGGAACTGGACATCAGCTAAGGATAATAGAGCAAGAATTGATGATGCCTTTCAGTTGTGATGCTGGAGAAGAGTATTGAACATACATACCATAGACCTCCAAGAAAACAGATAGGTCTGTCTTGGAGAGGGTGAAACCAATTTTCTTCTTGAAGGCTAGGATTTTGAAGCTCTGTTGTACATACTTTGGGCACATGGCCAGGAGAGACAGGTCCTTGGAGAACAGTATCATGCCTGGAAGGGTGGAGGGACAGCACAGGAGAGGAAGACCCTGGATGAGATGGATTGATACAGAAACTGAGGCAATGTGGGCAGGTGTGTCAGAGTCAGTGAGCCTGGCTCAGGACAGGACAGGCTTCAGAGCTATTATATATAGGGTCACTATGAGTTTTATTTGACTTGACAGCATACCACAATATAGCAAATACCACAAATAACAATAACAGCATACCACAAAATCCTTCTTACCAAGCCTGGCAACAGTGTAAGCTCCACATCTAAGCTTACTGTTCCAGGTCTAGCTTAGTAGTGGCACACTGAACTTCCTGTGTGTGCAGGACTGTCCTGGACTGTGCACTTGGAGCTCACGGGCTTCCTTACTAGAATAATGTGCTAAGGACTTGATTCCTATCATATTGTTGTCAGCTTGGCTCCGTAGTCGCACCAATGAAATTAACTTTCCAAGCTAGTTTACATGGAATGGCCTGGATGTTGGAAGACTTGATCATGTGGAAGAATTCCCTGGGAGTAATGAATGGAGCTGGCAGGTTTGTTGACTTGGTTCTTTAACAACTGAATTCCTAGCATGGCATGTGGTGCCTGGACAAGATCCTCCTTTTGATTTCAGAAAGGCAGAGAGGTTTAGCTTCCTCATCACAAAACCAGATGGCAAAACTTCTTGTATCAAGCGTTTGCACACTAACTGCAGAAGTACACGAGAGCTTACGGTGCTGCTCTGACAGAAGACACCATCCTCCTGGTGCCGGTACTGCGCCTCCCTGCCTCCCCTTCCTTCTGCTCTTGCTACCCCTCCCATGTCGCTCCTTAGTGTATTATGAGCAGAAATAAGGAGTTGAGTGCCTATTAGAGGAGACGGATGTGCAGCCTGCCCCAGTGTTAAGCTAATGGGACCACTGGCACATGGAGCATAAATACGCTTAGTAACCTGAGTTGTTTGGTTGAAGAAAGTCGGCAACACAAAGAAGTTGATTTCTCAGAGGCTCTAAAATGGATGAGCTTGCATGGCGGGGGCAAGGCAGGGCAGTCATCCTCTGTGGTTCTGAGAGCAGAAGCAGCCAGTACCTACTGCTCACAGGATATTTAAGTCAGTGTTTACTAGCTTGCGTGGGCTAAGTGGCTGTTTTGAAAAGTAGTAGCCTGGGAAAGCAAGGCAAGAAACTTATACACAGGAACTGTTATATGGGGGTCTTAGAGAAATATGTAGACCTTGATGTGGGCTGGCTAGCAAGGCCTCAGGTGCCTAGGCAACTTGAAATGACTGCTTCTCATCCCTTCTCGCCACCACCCACCTCCAGAGGGGGAACTTCCTTAGGAAGTAGATTCCTTGCAACAACTCCAGGTACTCTTGGCGGTTGTATGTATGTGTCTGTTTCTAACGTGCCTGGAGAAAATAGAGTTAGGAGCCCCGGTGGTGCAGTAGTTAAAGCTCTCAGCTCTTTACCAAAAGGTTAATTTTGAACTTGCCAGGCGCTCTGGGAGAAAGATGTGGCAGGCTGCTTCTATTCAGATTTATGGTCTTGGAAACTTTGTGAGACATTTATGCCCTCCTGTAGGGTCACTGTGAGTTGAAGTTGACATTAAATGACAGTGGATTGGGTCTGCTCTTTGTTTCTTTGGATTAGTACTACATTTGAATTTTTATGGTTGGATACGTGTTTTATTCTTGTTATATATCATGATGTTTGAAGATACAGTTGTTGTCTTGGTTCTTTCATAGCTTTAATTCTAGAAGTAAATCATGTCCAAGGATGTTTAAAATAATTTGGTATTTTGTTGGGGGTAGAAGGTCATTATATTGGAAGCCAGCCATTGTGGAAACAAACACTAGCCTTAACTTGCTTAATTTCAGGGTGAGAGGTTCAACAAGTCTTTCTTAGAGTCTGTTTGAATTTTTGTTTGCTAGACATTTTGTCTCACCTTTGAAGTAAATTTTACTTTCACAGTCAAATAATATTAATCACAATGTATAATCCTGTGTTGAAACATCAATTTATGACCCCTGAAAATCTTTTTATAAAACTCACATTGCATTCTTTAATTTTGTTTCTCATTGGATGAGTGAGTTTACAATGCAAATACATTTTGTTTTCAGGTTTGTTTAAAGAAGAGAACCCATATGCCAGGTTTGAAAACAACTGAACACTCCAAACCCGCCAGCAGTCCCAGCGCGCTTCTCGGTGAGATGGGGCCTTGCGCACACAGCTCACCTGCAGGACCATCCTCTGCATCCTTTGCCGTCCTACCCAGTGAGGTGGGAGCTGCACATATTCCCCCAAAGGACAATCCTGGCCTGTCCCTGCAGCCTGGGAGCTTGCTCCCTCTCATTGATACTTCTCTCTGTCTAGACCCTGGAGACATTAGCCCACTCTTTTTTCTTTCTGAGGAGGATATGTGCACATCCTGTTCCTAAATTTGTAAACATACTTCAGCTGAGCTGTCTACAGAATTTTCACTTTTCTCTACCGGCTAACAGGCTTCATAGAGCATGGGTGAAAGTAATTTTTTACTTTAGTTATGAAGGGGATTGCACAATTCCCCACCATTTCTCTCAGCATCAAGCTGTCGGCATTACTGTCTGTTTACATTCCACACACATGTTCATTCCGGTTGGTTTCTGTTAAAGCACAGAATCTCAGCACAGCTAATTAAGATATTCTTCCTAATTTTGGTTGTGCTAAATAGCATCAAGGAATGGTTAAAATCACTGTTTTGGTTTTTTATTGGAACTTTTTAGCCTTACGTAAAAGATTTTACCAAAAATACAAAAGGTCAGATCTTGTATTGGCTGATTTTTTTCTATTTTTATCTTTATTAGACTATCACAATTTTTCTTTTTAACAGAAACCCATTACTAATGCAGCTGGGACACATTCTCTGAGGGTTCTCTGAGCTGACTGTCACTGTGTGTTTATGAGCTTGAGTTGCAGGAGCTGTCTAGCTTGCCTTTTCCCCTCCCTGACAGATGAGACAGGCTCTGTGCAGCCATTTTACTCTGAGATTTCCTCTAGACTCGGTCACCTCCTCCTGCCCAACGGGGGTGGGGGGGGGAGACTGGGCAGTGAGAGTTCAGAGGTCTCTGGCCAGCTGTCACAACCTAGTGCCTCACTGGGTCTCACATCTGTCTTTGGCCAGGAACAGGGCCTTTCTACACACTACAGGGCAGAGCTGCCCATCCTGCCTCTTAGTTCCTCACTTCTCTGACAGTGGCTTTCAAGCCACTGAGAAAGCCTGTGGGACCTCAAGCATCTCCATGCTTTAAATTTTTTTTTTAAATCAAAATATGTGACATTGGTATCTAGACACATACTTCATGACAAGTTTGAAGTCAGTAGGTACAATGCCTTTCTGAAAAGTAATTTGAAAACACTCCAAGTTGCTACATTACTCAGAGGTAAGCATTTCGTTTTGGAAGAATCAGTCTGTAAGCATATAAAATGAAGAACGCTTTACATTTTCTCACTCATCTTTGTGCTACAAGAGAAATACTCTAGCAGCCAAGAGAATGTTCACATGCAGAGCAGTGTCATCTGGACACTTTCCAAATCAGCAGACTGCTTAATTCGCCTTTTAACTATGTAATGTACATTTCTACTCTAATATTTTTACACACTAAGAAGATATCCTTTAACAGATTCTTTAGTCTTCCCCCCACCTTGGGCATTTGATAGCAATTTAAAGTATTATGAAACACTCCTGACTATTTTATAGCAGCCTTCAAGTTTTTACTTTCTACTCCTTATTCATAAAAGGACCTTTTAACATATTTTAGTGCACTTTGTATTAATATAGTAGTATGTATGTAAGTCTCACTGTTTCTCAAGTAGAAGTTACTGAACTGAAAGTAGCACATGGTTAAATGGAGTGTACATAATCCTGTCGTGCAGGATGGAATCCCAAAACTGTGCCTCTTTGCTCTTGTCTTGCCCACATACTCTTTTCCAGCGCTGCCACAAACTATAACCTCAAATCTATAGCCTTTGGAGTGCCTTCATTTTTAACTGTTGCAATAAAATGGTTTAATACAAGCTTTAGTAGTACTCTGTGTGTGTGTGTGTGTGTGTGTGTGTGCGCGCGCGCGCGCGCGCGCATGGGCGCGTGCCTTTTATTATTTATCTTAATGGTGCTAGTTTATGACATGGAGAGCCAAATAAGTTGGGATGGATTGCAGTTAAACTTTGTGGATAAAGGTCAGTGTTTGGGCCAGACTCACAGCTGACCCTCCAGAGATTTCTCATCTTTCTTTCACAGAGCTGATGATGGATTTGAACTGCCCAAAAGGGAAATAAGTATTACAACTCCCTACAGACCTTTCCACTAGTGCTCTATGCTCTGGAAAAGGAGGAAGTTACTTAACACTTATAAACTAAGGAACAATATCCAAAGAGCTAGGCCTCTACCACTGCAGAGTGAGTGCTGGCTTCTGGTGCTGCCTGTGCTGGGACACCATGCTCACTGTCCTGAGCTTGCTGGGAAGCTTGGCTTGACTCCATAGTGATGAGTTTTAAGAGCAGACATCACTAGGATAAGGGAAGGTGTAGTGGTGGGGCAACTTGCTCTGCAGAGTTGGGCCTGGGCCTTGTTCCCAAGACGGTTATCAGGAAGCATTTATCCCCAGTATGCTGATACTGCTGTATGTATGCTGCCCTGGTCTCTGGAGATGGCCTGAGCCCCTCAGAGCCACTTACAGAAAGAGCTAGGGTTCTCATGAAAGGTTAAGGAGAGCTAAAGTTAGAGTAGGGTTTAGCGTGTGTCACACTTCCTGGAGTTCAAAGTGTGGGGGGCCTTTTCATCGGGTTGTCCTCTGAAGGCGTGTCTGGGTCTGGAGGATCCTCTTCTGAGCTGCTCATTGGCTGGGAAGTTGATGCTGACTTAGTGCCTCTCCACACAGTGCTAGAGTCCTTACAATGTGCTACTAGCTTCCTGCTGGTCGCCCAGACCTGTTCCGGCATGCCAGTTCCAGTAGGTCTTGGTGATCAGTCACCCCGGGACTCGTCTTGGAAACTGATGAGGGCTGCAGAGAAGGCAAAAGTAGTCCTGATTCACTCCCTGGTCAAGTCCAGCTCTGGGTGTGATTCTGGCCCTTGACCACTGATTTATTTGCCCATAAATTTATTTCTCTAGCAAATGAAATTATAGTGAGGAAGATAAAAATAATTTCTTTATCTTAATAGTATGCTCTCTGGCTGACCAGGACAGGGAAGGAGAAGACTAAAGAGGAGACGGGATTTGAGTCAAGTGTGTTGGTTTTTCCCTTAAAATGCTTTGGGTTCCATTCAGCTTCTCATTCCAGAATAGTGAAGGTCTATTGCTCATAATTTCCCCCCTCTCATTGCTGTCAGAACCAACTCATAGCTGACCCTCTGGGGAGTGTCCAGAGGCTGTAAATCAACATAAGAGATTGCCTATTTTTATTCCTTGGTATCTCTAGTGAATTTGAACTGCCAGAGAGGCGCACTGCCTTTGGGTTAGCAGCATAATGTCCTACTAACTGCACCACCAGAACTTGAGTACACCTCTTAAGTCTCTTATCCCCAAGGATGCTTGTGAAATGCTAGTCCAACTGAGTTTCCAGATGGCTGCCCATTTTGAGGATGACAGAGCAACAGACTTGAATGAGGTGATTCTGAGGATCCCAGGTGGGAACTCGGGTATGGCCCCGGAGACCTAATGTGTGGGCCCTGTGCTTATGGTCTCTGAGACACTGTAACACAGTTGTGTCTTGCTCCCACCCTGGAGGAGGGGATAGGGACATGTGCCATGCCTGTGGACACCACCATTCCAACCCCAGGCACGAGGAACCTGATGACCTCTTGAAAAGCCAGTCTTGCACCTCCATTCAAATCTGCTCAGCCTGTCCCCAATCTTGGAGCAACTTATTACTCTTGGGAAAGTAAATGTCAAAAGGCCTTTGTTAGGCCAGAGGTCAGAGAATAAGCCCCCTTAATAAAGCTGCTTTAATCCTGTTTGCTTGCTTTCTCTCTGGTTTCTTCCTTGAGTTTTTGGCCTCAGGCTACTTCATTACCTAATCAGACCATTGGATTTAGACATGTCAACAAAAGGAGTGAACTGCCTCCCCCACCTGGCTGAACCGTCAACCACAATGGAATGTCCCTCCCTGAAGACCCTACTAAAAAAACCTGCCCCACCCCACCTTGGGTGTGGTTTTCCCTGGCCTATCCCTCTCTCCAGATCAGCTGGCCCAGTGATGAGAAAACAATGTGACCAAGACCAAGGTGGGTGGCTTTTAGTTCCCGGCCCTCAGGCCAGTCTTTCATTGTTTTTGTTCAGACATTCCTCTAGGTCATATAGCCCTGGTGTACAAGTTGCCGACCTGCGGTCACTTGTGGTTGCGGTGAGGCTGAACACTGACAAGGATGTGTCAAATGTGTTAATGGTTGGCTACCCAATGCGGACAGAGAGTGGGGTGGATCTCCCCGATTAAAACATGCATGGAAGGAGGAGTGGCATCCACTTCTGTAATAGCTTGTCTCCGGAAACCCTATGAACCTCGAGAGAGGATGAAAGGCACCCAAGTGTTGAGGACTCTCCTTCATAGGGTCACTATGAGTCGCCCTCAACTTGATGGCACATCAACAACAACAACATCCCTCTCTCCAGACCAAGGAAGCCCCCTTAATAAAGCTGCTTTAATCCTGTTTGCTTGCTTTCTCTATGGTTTCTTCCTTGAGTTTTTGGCCTCAGGCTACTTCATTTCCTAATCAGACCATTGGATTTAGAACTTTCCCTAATGATGGAAGCTGAGCCTTCCTGGCTCCCAGTTCACTTTTCGTATCAGAGAAACATCATCCCAGATCTGGGTACACAGTCTGCTTACTGTTCATGTGTGTGCATCATATGCCACCTGCCAGCCTCATGTATGTTGTGGTGGGTATCTATTCCTAATGGAAAGAGAATGAGGTCTCACCTATAGCACAAGAGGGGTGCATACAGACTATTTCCCTGTGGCTAGGGGGCCAGTGTCCACCACTGAAGCTGACCTTGGTTTAGCTCTGTATGATTAAAAAACACCGTTCTGTGAACAGTATCTTTCTCAATAACCTCAGACCTGAGGTTATTTGGGACAGCGATAGGAACATTAATAGGCCATATTAATAACTTTAAGTGTATAATCCCACACA